ATCTTTCTTCACGAAGCCATCCCTGAATACTCCAGCCCTCCTGGGCCTAGTCCCTCCGTGAAATTTGTCACCATTTCTTGGAGTCCATAGTGAGGCATTCCTCCTCCCCTGAGAACTTAAAAATGTGGTAAAACTTTTTTTGAAAGATGGCTATCCAAGAGAGAAACATCAAGGGTTCCACACATAGTGGAGCAGAGCAGAGGTGTAAGGAAGGTCCCTGGTCTACAAACGTGAGCTGAACCGCATTGGACGTATTAATGTATCTAAAGAAAAACGTCCATCAGAGGGCTGGCCAGTAGTGAGAGCACAGACAAGGCGAGGAAGGGCCCAGCAAGGGCAGTGCCCACCTGACATTGTGCGTGAGTTGAGGTGGCATCTCAGGCGGCAGATGTGGGGTCGGCCTGGCAAGGCTGCACCTGGGGGGATGAGTGAGTCCGGCCACCTCAGCCCTTTCCATTAAACACTGGAGTCAGCCGGTTCCTTTTCTGATTCTGTTCTCACATTAGCCTTCAGGTTGTGCTTCAGTGCGCCGTGGAGGCCCCTCTCTCCAGAGGGGCGATTCACTGATTGAGTCGACACAGGTGTTCTGTCTGTGGAATAAGATATATTTCTCATTGTCAAGTCATAATCTAGCATTCTCACTTTCAGTCAGTCCTGTGATATCGATAAGGTGAGACTGCTCTGAGCGGAAAGAGGGAGTTCTCTCTTGGCGAGGACAGAGTCTGATTTCTGAGCCTAGGAGGCAGGGACCAGCTGGGGTCAGTTTGCAGAGGCCTCTGGGAAGATGGTCATTAGCCATTAGCCCAGTCAGTACCTTCTGCATGTCCTGGTGGCATGTGGCCTTTTTTGTTTTTGAAATTTCTATCAACTCCTATATTGCTTTAAGTTTCTGTATAGAATGTAACCTTGTATCTGTGTTTATTTACACGTTGTCGTTACTTCCTTTTCTCACTTAGATGGTAAGCTATGTGAAGACAGGGAGCACGCAGTGTTTCACCCGTAGTAGACAATAGAGGTGTGCAAAGGAAGAGAGAGATGAGGCATTATGTCAGTTCCACAATGAGGAATAATGCAACCTAGTGTTTCTTTGTAGTAAGCAGAGTCCAGCAATATACAGACCTGTGTGTTCCTAAGACTTTTGAAATGTCACCTTTTAATATTCTAATCAGTGGGAGAAAATGAATAAATGCTAACAGAGCACCTAAGTATTTAAGGAACAATAACGGCAGACCCCTATTCTCACCTTAAACATATTTCAGCAAATGTAAAAAAAGAAAATGTAAAAATATTAGAAGAAAATAGAAGCAGTAGTTTTTATAATCTTGCAGTGGAGAAGAGCTTTCTAAGCCTGTATCACAGCAGAAGCCTTTGCTAGATTTGCCCACCTTGTCTGCGACACCACCAGCAAACTTAGCAGTTAATATGCTGAGCCCAGGACAAAGAGTTTTCCATGTATCATATGATTTAATCCTCACAACAGTCCTGTGAGGAGGAGATTATCATCCCACTCTAGAGAGGAAGGACAGCAAGTTAAGGCCACCATTGCAAAACCAAAAGCAGAACCCAGATTCCCCTGACTGCAAAGCCTGCGCACCTCACTGCCACTCTGTTTTGCCTCCTTAAAGACTAAAAAGAAACACTGGGAAATATTTGAAACATGGAAGTACAATGGAAACCATTGGAAGGATTAATATATTTAATATAAAGAGTTTTATAAACCAGCAAGAGAAGACAGTCTAGTGGAGAAAGGGCCAAAGGCTGTGAAGAGTAGGGAATTCATCGTCTGTGCTGTTGCATCTGCGGCCCTAGCCTGTGGCTTACGGGGTGCGAGTCTTATTAGAGGCCTTTGTCACTTGACGGAACAGTCTCTGATAATTTCTTTTTGTACTTTTCTAGCATTATATTATTTATATTTTTCAATCCATCTGGAATTTGTTTAATTTCTTGGCTTCTAGTGTGGTTTTAGGTAGAGAGTCTAACTTAATTGTCCCTTCATGAATATTCAGTTGCTTTAAGGCAGTTTTTATTGTACGGTCCATTCTTTCTTTAGTGATGTAAAACACCATCTTTACCTGGACTCCTCTCTTCTTTGATCCAGTTGTCTTTTCCTGTGCCAGTACCAGGATCACACTACATAATTCGCTTGTTCTCAGAGTATAGGCATATCCCATTTAGAAACTGCCAGATTGCTCTTTGAAGTGATTTACCAGTTACAAACTCCCTAGCAAGTTCCCATGTCTCCACTACTTCCTGACTTTATTGCAGGAAGAGGTATGTCTCAATACGCGGCAAGCTCGTGCTCTTTGGTCTTCTTTTTCATACTTTTCATAGCTATTCTTGCCCATTTTCACTACCAAATGCCAGCTGCACAAATCTTGTAAAAAACTGTCTCAGGATTTGAATAGGATTACATTGAATTTGTAGATTAATCTGAGAATTGACATCTTTACAACATTCTAGGACCATGGTATCTCATGCCACGTATTTATATCTTCTTAACATCATTGAGAAGAGTTTGTGTTTTCATCACATAGATCCTACACATCTTTTTAAATGTTTATTCCTAGGTGTTTTACACTTTTATTGCTGCTGTAATTGGGATCATTCTTCCATTTCGTAATTAATTATTCGGGGTACATAGGAAAGCTATTGAAGTTTTGTATACTGATGGCTTGATTTTGTACCTAGCCACCTTACTGAATTCTGTTCCTTCCAGTAAAGATTTAGTTGTTTCTCTTGGGCTTTTTATATTTTCCATCATTTCATATGCAAATAATGATAGTTTTATCTCTTCCTTTCCAATCCTTATACCCCGTTTACTTTTCTTATTGCATTTATTAGGACCTCAAATCAACAATGATGATGGTAGCTGTCATAATAGGTGTCATCCTCTTGTTCTTGACTTTAAAACCAAGCTGTTGTTTAGGTTTCTGGGAGATACTTTTATCAAGTTACAGATGTTTCCTTTTTTTCCTACTGCATGCAAGACCCTAAGCTAGGTACTGTAGAAGAATGAAAGAACTATTGAACAGGATAGAGTTCATGTTCCCCAAAAAGTTATCTCACCAGGTAGATAAGACTTCAGATAAATAAAAGGAATGAATAAAGATTTGCAAATAAATAAAAGGAATGAATAAATATTTGGAGATAGTGGTCACTGTGATGGATAATCACAGTCCTGTTTTTTTCCAAAACAGATTTATTCTCATAGAGAAGACCCAGATGGGTCCCCAGGGTAAGTATTAATCTGGCACTTTTTAAACTAGAATTTTAGAACTAGAGAAGAACTTAACATTTATCTATTTCAATTCCCTCAATTGCAGTGAGAAAACTGCCAGAGGCAGGAAGAATACTTCCTTAACCCAGGGCTCTGCATGACCCCAGCAACATTAGTTCCCCAGGCAGAGCTGAGTTAGCAGTGACTAGTAAGGATGCACCTGCTGTCCTGCCAAGAAAGGGTAGCAGGGTAGAGGCTTTGGTGGTACCTGTTCCTTCTGCCGGGGAGTGGGCCCAGGCCAGACCAGAGGCCTTCTTGGAGGCTCTGGAGAAGGGGGGTCGGGAAGGCCACATAATATTGAGGTAATTCAAGGCTCATAGGAGGTAGAATACATGAGTCCTTCCTCTAAAGTGGCAGGAAAACCTACCTTCTTATCCTACTGGATTTGTGGCCCCACTCTCTATTCCTTTTATCCAAACCTCATAGAGCTTAACTAGGAGAGACCTCAGACAGTAGTTTGTCTCTTCCTTTTATTATAAGGAAATGGAGAAGGAGAAAGGGAAAATATCTTGCCCCATGATCACACTGTAGTGAGTATAAGAAGAGGCTGATTCTTTTCCTGGCGGGGGATTTCTCCATTGATTTTACTTGGGCTTGGGCTATGAGCTACATTTTATGTCACGAATCAGTACACACATATATAGACACAGGTAGTTTCTGAAATGATGCACTCTGATTTTTTCATATTCTGTTTGTATTCAGAAAGAATATCTTGTGTTTTAGTGCTAGCCATGTCCTTTAAACTGGTTCCACCACCCACTCACTCATCAGTGACAGCCTGCAGTATTAAAATCAATGGGGTCGATAACCTGGCTAGTTGAACCCAGGCATTTGCTTGATGTGATTCAACTTCTAGGATAAAGCAGCTAGGAAAACAGAGGCACCTCATCCACCACCCCCCAGCAGATGACACTTGTGAGACAGTCTGAAAGGGACTGATGTAAAATGCTTCTGGAGACAGCAGACACTTCTGCCCAGTGTGGCTGTGCACTTTGTTCACTGCACGAGGGCACTTGGTCGAGGAAGTATATGGGGCTGAAAGTCCTGCCTGTACTCCATGCCGCATACAGAGTTCTCCCCAGAGACATTGTGAGGACCTTTTGACAGACACAGAGAGCTTCTGGAAGCCCAGCATGCATGAAATTTTTTTTGAAGGTCCCTGCTCTGTGGTGATTTACTCATTGTGATTATGGACTGAGATGCACATTTAGTCCTAATAAGACCAGAGATGTACACTGTGAGAGACATGGAAAATGGCATGACTAATTGTCTTGTGTGTATGTTTTCCCCCAAGGGGCTTTTTCAGATTTCTGTGGCATAGGAAATGCTCAGAGAAAAATCACTCTCACGTAAATTTGAGAAGGATTCACTCCTGTGCCCAGAGATAGCAGGGGAAATGCAGCATTAATATTTCCCCTTTTCTTTTCTAGAAAGGCTTTTTCCTGTTAAGGAAGCCGCTGTGGCCTAGGGATTATATATAAACCGCCGAGTACTACCCGCCAGAAAAACATGGCCAAAAAGCTGCATGACAAGAAGTCTTCAGATGAGGATGAGAGGTACAAGAATAGAGGGTAAATGATTGGGAACAATTTAAAATTTGTTATCTACAATGAGGAGATAATGAACGTTTATTTTAATTTTATTTTTCTGGTGGCTGGTCAGTAAGGGAATCTGAAGCTAGGACCTCGGTGATGTGAGGCTGTGCTCTAAGCAGCTGAGTTAACTGGCCAGCTTGTTAGTTGCTGTTATCAAGAGTAAAAGCCTTGACATTGTTTTTCTTATCCTAGGGCGCTCCGTGAATCAGCCCGAACAGGGAGGACTATGTGTGCATAGACAGGACTGATGAGGGAGAGGAAAGCGAGGTGCCCGAGGGGAACACAGAGTGACCCCGTCCTGCCTCAGGCCACCTGCAAATCTTATTTTGTCACCTTTCAGCACTGCGGGGAAAATACTTTTTTTTTATTGAAACATATAAAATTCATAAGCAATTCTAGCCATATTGTAAGAAATTAAAATGTAAATAGTTAAATATTTATATATAAATACCCAGGGCCATGGGCAAGCAAAGTGAGACTGAAGGTGGGATCTCTCACGGGAGCCAGTGGTCCTTTTGAAGGTCTACTTTTGCAAGGGGGCGGGCAGCCATACCTGGGCCTGGTGACAGGTGGGTCCAGAGTGGGTGGTGAGGGCAGTTTATTCACCAAAAGCAGCACAGAAAGCCAGGGCCCTGTGGGATCGGGAGGGCATGGGGTGCGAATGAAAGGCTGATTCAAGTAGAGAGCTGAGGGTGTGATGTGGACACTGCAGCTGAAGGTGCCAAGAATCCGCAGGGACCAGGAAGCAGGAGCTCACAATTCACATTCAGGTCCTGGGACCTGCCACGGCTCCTCTGCCCCTCCACCCCTTTCCTGTCCCAGCCCCACATCTACCGTCTTTGTGGTGAAAAGTAGAACTGGAAGAGCTTCAAAAGGGGAAGACCCTCCTGCCGCACTTGTCCTTCAGGCTGTGAGGGTCTGGCCTGAGCATCACGGGGATATATCTACACAGGACCACCGAGGGTTCTAATCGCAATTTGCCATTAACCAATGTTAAATAAAAATTGTAGGAGGCCGCTGTTTTGGACTAAATTCCTGCACTAGGCCCCAACAGACAAGACTAAAATTCAAAATGGAGTCACCCCTGGTAAATTCCATGTCAGTTAGGTTGTGTTCTACATTCTGAGAAATCAGGAGAAAGAGGTAACAGGCAATTTTCTCAACAGGACACTTTAAATCTGCAATAGGTGTGATACAGAAGGTCATTTTGCTTTAATCCTGACACAAAAGAGACAGCCAAAAGTATCCTGATGTAAACTAGTCATTTTTCTATAGTTCTGTCTTCCTGTCCCCACCTTTCAGGAAAAGTAACTTTGAAATAACTGAGCTACTTTCTTGTTTTGCTGTCTTCAGCCCTCTTCTGTCTATTAACATCAGCCCATTTTGCTCAGCTCACTGGGACACATTTCATTTTAGGGAATGAAGTGCTGCTGCAATAGAGATCTTTAACTAAATCTGTTGTCATTGTGTCCTTTGACATCAGACTTCTTGGATGGAGGGTAAGAATGTGTAAAAGGCCTAGCACAGGGCCTGACACACAGCAGGGACAAACGGCATCTGTAACTCCACATTGCCACTGCCTAAATGAGTGTGCAAGAGTAGAAGTCAGTAGTTGTTAAGTCCCTCGGGGCAGCTGGCTTCCTCAAGGGGCTGTGTGGGGTGTGAGCCTGAGGGGGCTGCTGGTTGGCCTGGCCCCACCCCAGCACCTTGGGGAGACCTGGGCTGGGCAGCTACATTTACATTTAACCAAATAACCAGCTCCTGCTGGCCATCAGGGGACCAAAAACAAAAAATGGTTATGGCTGTCTCTGCTCTCAAATAGTTATGGCCATTGCCACTGCCTAAATGAGTGTGCAAGAGTAGAAGTCAGTAGTTGTTAAGTCCCTCGGGGCAGCTGGCTTCCTCAAGGGGCTGTGTGGGGTGTGAGCCTGAGGGGGCTGCTGGTTGGCCTGGCCCCACCCCAGCAACTTGGGCAGACCTGGGCTGGGCAGCCACATTCACTTACATTTAAACAAATAACCAGCTCCTGCTGGCCATCAGGGGACCAAAAACATACAAACAAAAAATGGTCATAGCTGTCTCTGCTCTCAAATAGTTATGGCCTGAAAAAGTTAACACAACCAAGGAATATCCTCAATGGAGAGAAAAGCCTTCACCAGTGAACATCCACAATCCTAAAATTCACATTTGTCTCCTTCCTTCCAGTTCCTTCCATCCAGCTTTGTTATTTTACCTTAGAGACATTTGGACAGTTAAGATTTAGTCCCTCCTTATTTTTGGTCAGCTGGTTTTGGACAGTTAAGATTTAGTCCCTCCTTATTTTTGGTCAGCTGGTTGGTGCAGGTTCCCTCCTTTTATGACTCGGTTCCAGGCACTTGCAGGAAATACCAAGAAAAATGATTGCTCCAAACAGCTTATAGGTGCTAGGGTGGGGGTAAGCACAGAATATTACAGGAACCCAGGAGAGGTGCCTAACCCAGCTGGGGGATGGGGGGCTGCAGACTGGGGATGTGTAAGGAAAGCTTCCAGGAGGAGCTGATGGAGGACTCCTGAGCTGCCTCTTATGGGATAGCAATCTCTCCCCTCAGGGCCATAAGCAGTGGCTGGAGATCACACGATTTCCCAGGTGTGTGTGACTGCCAGGACAGCCACCTGGTTGTAGGGCAGCTGCTCTTTTTGCCCATTTTCCTCAGGGAGTTTTCCTGGGTCTTGATGACCTAAGCAGAGTTTGTTCAGAATCCTGTGTTGTCAGTGGTCCCCAGTAGCCATCCCAATCAACACATCATCCCATCACTGGCAGAAAGAAGCACCTGCCAATTCTGATTGTCCCACGGAGGAAACCCTGGTGGCCCAGTTCTGTGAGCCCCCACCCCCAGGCGCATGAATCAGAACTCACCATGCTCTGCTTTAGGAGACCCACAGCGTTTGAATCGATTAAAATGTCCAAACCAAACCAACCCTTCCCGGCGGCCCCAGACCAGCTCCTCTTCCTTGTCTACAAGCAGAGAGAGCAGTCTTGATTTAGGGGCTGGAAATAGCAACATCAGGGTGAGGTTTGTGGCACTTAAGACAGCTGGACTGGTCCCTCACCTCATGTGACTCATTTCCTCCGTGTAGGCAGTCACTTAGGGTGGCACAGCCAGCTTCCTTGCCTCTGTTTTTCCATGATTAGGCACAGAAAGCAGGGAGGACTTGAAATAGTGAAAAAAAGGAACAAGAACCCGTTCCCACAGCACACTGACCCCCGACTGCCTCCCTCTTCCCCCAGCCAGTGAAAAACCTCAGACTCAGAAGGGAGGGGGCAGGGCCTGGCTACCTGGGGTCCCGGGAGCCTGATCAGAGGCAGGGAGAAAGAAAGAGGTGTCCAGGGAGGATGTCGGCATCCTTCTCGCCATACCTCCCTCACCTGCAGCCCTCTATGAGCAGGGCCAAAAAACCCTGTGTGCTGGGACAACTGGATATCCATCCACGTGCACAGGATAAAGTGGCACCCCTTCCTTACTCACCTTCAAGAAAAGTTAATTCGGCGTGGATTATAGACCTGAATGTAAGAGCTAAAACCACAAAGCTCTTCACAAGGCAGAGAACATAGGAGTAAATCTCTGTGACATTGGCTTAGGCAATGGTTTCTTAAATACAACACGAGAAGCAGATGGAAGAGAAAAATAGGTAAATTTTTATCTACTCATCAAAATTTAAAGCTTTTATGCTTCAGGGGGCACTGACAAGAAAGTGAAAAGGCAACCCACAGAATGGGAGAAATTATTTGCAAATCATACATCTGGTAAGTGTCTAGTTTCCAGAATATATAAGGGACACAAACAACTTGTATTAGTTTGCTAGAGCAGTAGTAACAAAGTACCATAAACTGGGTGGCTTAAAACAACAGACATTTATTCTCTGATAGTTTTGGAGGCTGGCAATCCGAAATCTAGAAGTCAGCAGGGTTGGTTCTTTCTGGAGATACTAAAGAAGAATCTGTTCCACATTTTCTCTTAGCTTCTAGTATTGCCAGCAACGTTGACATTCCTTGTCTTGTGGACATGTTACTCCAGTCCCCACCTCCATTGTCACAGGGTGTTCTCCACTGTGTCTCTCTATTCACTTGCCATTCTCCTTTCTGTGTGTGTCATTCTCTTCTCCTGGGGACAGCAGTCATACTGGATGAAGGGCCTACCCTACTCCAATATGACCTCACTTTCTTTTTTTTTTTTTTTATTATTCTGGCTTCTGACTGGTACAGGGATCAAACCCCATACCTTGGTGTTATCAGCACCACACTCTCCCTACTGAGCCACGGGCCAGCCCTGGAGCCTTCTGTTATGGGGGCTATGCTATATGGGAGCAGGGACCAAGTGAAGGAACTGAGCTGGTAGGTGGAGAAAGACGTCCAGATGAAGGTTTGTTAGCAGGGGGAGTGGGGTTTCTGCTTTAGTGTCTCTGCCCTTTTTCCCCTCAGAGAACTGCCTTTCATCATCGTCACCTATGATGGTAGTGAGAACAAAAGCACACTAAAGAGGTGGGGATTGGAAGACTTGCACTACATCTGGACATGAGGCAGGACAGTATGGGGCACTTGAATGTGAGGAGACATGGAAGGTCTGCAGAGAGGCCAGCTGACTGGGGGGAAATATCTGTCTTCAAGCCTTGGGCATGACTACTGGGCAATTGGCCATTGGGACCAATGGAATAATCTCAATGGAATGTTCTGAGTAGGCGGCCACTTTTTCAAGTGATGCCTTTTTCTCCTTTTGTTGTTGCTATTTCATAGATTTAAGTGTTGGTTTATTTTCCTCCTCTCTAAATGGCACTCATATGTTTGCTGACTCCTAATTTATTTGACTGGGATGTATAGCTGTGGCCTGACAAAAAGCTGCTCTATGAGTCTTCCTTATCAAAAGTAGTCTCTTCTCTTTCGACAGTTGAAGAGGCATCCCTAAAGAATCCAGAAGGAAGATTCATGAAGATATTAAAAGCTCGGAAGCAGAACACAAGCACTGAGCTGACGATTGAGCCAGAGAAGGCATCCTCAGACATAACTGGCATGAATGGGGCAAATGTGAATGAGCAGCTAGACCTAAATGATAAAAGTGAAATTATACATGCACTAAATTACCTATTATCTTATCTATCCAAGGGTAACCTAGAAAATATACAACAACATTATTACCATTCATTAAACTGCTTTTTTCAAATGTACAGGATGAAGATAACACCCCTGGATTACTTGAAGAAAAATATACAAATAGCCCCTCTCTCATACCTGAATCCAACAATTCACCCTACACAAATAAATCGAGGAAGCTCTATTTTCTCGAAAACTTGTTAGATACGGAAATTGAAGAAAAATCGATGAGGTTAAGAAGAAAGAAAAAACTACAATGCTTATGCATTCTAGTCTTTTAGGTCCCAAACTTAAACACCAAATATTGTTAAAGAAATTAGAAACTGTCCAACCACAGGAGAACAGCCTGGCAAAGATTGAGAGTAGGGAAAAGGGTGCAGAGAGTGTACAGAGTCCTCCAGTGGTGAAGAGGCATAAAGAACAGGTACTTCAAACAAGTGAGGGAGGGATCAGAGAATCATTGAAGGATCAGAGCATCGGGAAGGATCAGAGATTCATTGAGGGGTCCGAGCATCACTGAGAGTGCAGGAAAAAGGCTACAGAGAGTGAACAGATTCCTCAAGTGGCCAAGAGGCAAAAAGAAAAGACACTTCAAAGAAGTGAGTGATCTGGCCGGCCCGTGGGTCACTTGCGATGGCGTGGTGCTGACAACACCAAGTCAAGGGTTAAGATCCCCTTACCGGTCATCTTTATATAGGGGGGAAAAAAAATTAGGCAGGCAAAGAAACAACACTGGATCCGAAACTGGAATTCTGTGAGGCGCCTCCATAGCACAGGGCCCAGGGGGAGAAGGGACAAGGACAGGGTTGAAGGGGAGGTCGGTCACCATATCCTGTTTTGAGTCTTGGGGACTGAAAGAGGGTCCACTTTGGGGCAGTCACATTCCTTCGTGTCTTGCTAAGTTCCTGCCCAACCCCAACGTGCACAAACGTGTCCCAGGGCTGCAATGTGAATGCGTGTGCTGCCACCTATCGTCGTGCCGGGACAATGCAGCTGCCTTCGAGCCTCCTGTACCACCCCAGGGAGATCCGGGTTTCCAGACTCAAGCTCCCTCTCTTAGCAGCATCCAGCTCTGGGGAGGAGGTCCCGTGGAGCCAAATAGGGGTTTAATGTAAGAGTATGTGTCAGGGGTTTTAATCCGCACCGCAAGATGCCTGGCCAGACACCAAAAGCTGCTTCAAACCTACTGAACCCAAATCTCCACCATCCCCACCACACCTGATTCGCCGGCACTTTGAGCCACTGGTGGGGGGTATTCCTGCCTTCCCTGAGTGGATCATCACTGTAGGAGACAATAAATCAATCTCTAAGTTATAAGTAAACAATGCAAGAGAAGTCGCAAGGTGCTGCTGCTGAATGAGGGATGGATGATCTGTTCTAGTTCTGCGGCAGGAAAGCTTGACAGGGATGGGACAGCAGGGAAGGGCTGCTGGAAGGGGTGGAACTGGAGGCAGCCCTTGGAGAATGGCTCCAACGTGGATCAGCAGGGAAAGGAGAACACACATAGAGCAGGGGGAATGAGGAAGAGGGTAAGACATTTCCAGAAAGGATAGGCTAAGTTAATTCACATCAGCCTTCCCACTGAAAACAAGTGCAAATGCTGGATAAAGGATTTTTTTAAAAAATCATCTCAACAATATCACAGACATTTGACAAGAGAGATGAATTTCCAGGCCAAAGCCTAGAGAAAGTGGGATCCCAGAGAGGCACTGGGAGACAGAGCAGAAGAAATTACCCAGAATGCAGAAAAGGGGGGCAAAAAAAGAAGAGAGTTTGAGAGACATTGAAAAGGAATAACATAATTTAATCAGTTCTAGAAAGAAAGAATAAGAGAATGTGGCAAGGGCTGGATGTGAAAAAACAATGGCTGAAAAAATTTCAGTAGTGATGAGGCACCAATTCACAAGATCTGGAAGCCCAAAGAGTCCCAACTAGGATAAATAAAACAGAATCCACCTGTACATACATCACAAGGAAACTTTGGAATGCCAAATATAGGGGAAAATCTTAAGAGCAGCCTTCTCGACAGCAATAATGGAAGCCGTAAGCCAGTGGAATATCTTGAACGTGCTGAATGAAAATAACTTACAACCTAGAATTCAAACAAATTTTCAAACAAGTAAAAACTAAGGAAGTTTGCCATCAGCTTCACCGAAGGAAATTCTAAAGGATGCAATTCAGGCAAAAGGAAATTGATCCCAGATGGAAGGTCTTAGATGCGAGAAGGGATGAAGACTTGTACACAAATGTTCATGGTAGAATTATTCATAATAGCCAAAAAGTGGAAGCAACCCAAACGCCCGTCAACAGAGGAACAAATAAAATTTAGGGGCTCACTGTTTAGCTCAGTTGGTTAGAGTGAGGTGTTGATAACACCAAGATCAAGGGTTCAGATCCCTGTCCTGCCCAGCCACCAAAAATAATAAACAAAAAACCGATATATTCCTACAATGGAGTATTCAGCCAGAAAAAGGAATGAAGTACTGATACATGTTATGATATGGACAGACCTTGAAAACACTGTTAAGTGAAAGAAGCCAGACACAAAAGGCCACATATTGTGTGATTCTGTTTATATGAAATGTCCACAACAGGCAAATCCACAGAGACAGAGGTATGTTAGGGGTTGTCAGGGGCTGCGGGGAGGAGGGAGTAATGGGTACAGGATTTCTTTTCAGGGTGATGAAAGTATTATGGAATTAGATAGTGGTGATGGTTGCACAATCTTGTGAATATACTAAAAACCACTGAATTATACACTTAGAATGGTGAATTAAGTCTCAGTTAATGTTTTTTCCCCTGGGCTGGCTGGTACAGGGATCTGAACCTTTAACCTTGGCGTTCCAATGCTGCACTCTAGCCAACTGAGCTAACTCGCCAGCCCCAACATAATGTTAAGGCTGGCCCTTTGGCTCAGTTGGTTAGAGCGCAGCCTTGGAACGCCAGAAGTAATTTTAAAAAGAAGAAACGAGGAGTGAAGATATGTAGCTAAACCTAAACAGCTACTGACGACAGAAACAGTAACAGTGACGTCCACTGAGATTTAAAGAGTGAACAACACATGATAAGGTACCACATAAATGATAAATGAAGTGAAAGTGTTCTGTGGTTTAGGAGGAAAATAAGTAAAGGCAAGTAAGTAAAATTGAGACTTCGATGCACATTGTAGTTTTTAGGGTACAAACAATATGCCCTATATAAACATGTAAATATAGGATGTAATCTGGAGGACAATCATTAGAAGAATAGAAACAAAGGCATGGAAGTGGCAATAAGGTCTGGTGTGGCCAGTTGGGGAACCAGCCGATATGTTTATAGTAGTGTCTGGCTGTCTGGGACAAGTGTATCTGGATGAAACAGGGATTACAGGAATCCCAGGCAGGAACTTAACGGTTGCCTGATTCAGCCCACTCTTTTCAAAGGTTTGTTCCTGTAATGCAGAAATTGTCAGGTATGTGTTGGCTCCTCCTGGGTGCCAGGCATGGTGTTAGGTGCTGGGGCCACAGGGGTGCATAATCCCTGCTTCATGGAACCACATATCCAGGAGGGGAGGCTGGAGATGAGAGCCAGAGCTCAGCCACGCAGGGACTGGCAAGTCAGACTAAGGAGCTCACCTCTGATGCCAGGAGCAGTGGAAAGCTGTTGAAAGGTTTTCAGGAGGGGGGACATGGTCATTCTGGCTGCTGAATGGATTGGAAGGAGGCGTGAGTAGCAGCAGACAGCTACCCCAGAGAGCTTTCTGAGAGACGGTGAGGATGGAGCGCAGTGGGCAGATGCAAGAGAGAATGAAGAGGTAGATGCTACAGGATGCGGAGAGAACTGGATGTGACTGTGAGAAGGTAGAAGACCAGGAAACTGAGAAGCAGAGGTCCAGCACCCTCAGAGAGCTGGTGGCTGAACCAAGGCTGAGACCAGGCCAGGGTCTTTCCACAACCCTGTGTTTGAGACACGCCAATACCCAAGTGGAAACAGGCAGATGAGAAGCAGACAGTCTGGAGCCAGGAGGCCGGGATTTGGCCTCTTGGGCCTGCCTGTGACAGTGGAACCTAGAAGAGGCTGAGTTGTCCAAGGAAACAGTGTGAAGAAGAGACAGAACTTTGGCACACACCTGAGCCCGCACATGGAAATGGAACCAGCAATGATCACAGCAGGGGACTTCCAATAGAGCCTTTGACAGACCACAGGTGTCACCACTGCAGGATCCTGGGTCTCTCCTTACCTCTCTGAGCCTTGGCTTCCATGGCAGACAAACTCTCAGATGTTCCCACCTCCTGGTATCCCTGCCATTGCGTATCCCTCCCCTTGATTGTGGGCAGGACCAATGACTTGCTTCTAACCAGTAGCATATGGCAAAGTGGATGAGATGTCATTCTCATGACTTCCTTACATTATACAAGACTCCCCCTTGCTAGCCAGCTCACTCTAAAGGCTCTCCTTGCTGGCTTGGTGAAGCAAGCAACTGTGTTGGGCATGACGGTTCCTTTTATGTGTCAACTTGGCTAGGCTATGGCACCCAGCTGTTCAGTCAAACACTAATCTAGGTGTTACTGTGAAGGTATTTTGTAGATGTGGTTAATATTCACCATCAGTTGATTTTAAGTAAAGATTATCCTCAGTAAGGTGGGTGGCCTCACCCAATCAGTTGAAAAGCCTTAAGAACAAAATCAAGTTTCCCTGAGAAAGAAGAAATTCTGCCATAAGACTGCAGCGTTAGATCCTGTCTAAGAGGTTCCAGCCTGCTAGTTTGCCTGGACTTCAGACTTGTCCTCCTCTACAATCGTGTAAGCCAATTCCTAGGAATAAGTGTCTCTGTGTGTGTATGTGCATGTGTGTGTGTGTGTATGTGTGTGTATGTGTGTCCTACTGTTTCTCTGGAGGACCCTGACTGATACACTGGCAAAGCCCATGTGGAAAGGAACTGCTTTCAGCTGACAGCCAGCAAGAAGCCAGAACCCTCACTCCTATACCCAAACCTCCAGATGAGAACACAGTCTGGGTGACATCTTGAGT